GAGGGAGAGAGAGAGAGAGAGAGAGAGAGAGAGAGAGAGAGAGAGAGAGTCCATAGCCTTTGCACTGGAATGGTCATTAGCCAGGAACAGATTCATTTCTTTCTGCCTTAGTTACTGTCCCATCACTAAACATAATTCCCGGCACCCACAATCTAGAAGAGATGTTTACTTTGCCTCATGGGCTCAGTCTGTTCTTGACTGGCTCCAAGGCAGAACTAGGGGACAGAGAGGACCTTAGGAGGAAAAGCACTCAGCTCACCACAGCTGAGGAAGCAGAGAAAGAAGTGAGGACATGGGGCGAACCCCCCTCTTCCAGGTCTGACTCCAGGGCCAGCTTCAAATTGGCTCCTCCTCCTAAGAGCTGCATCACTCTGACCTCATGATGACCACAGTGCTCCCACCACCGTGTCACCCTCCAAACTCATGGGCCTTCTGTAGGACACAGCAGACCTAAACTGTAGCATCTTCCTGCTCCTTTTCATTCTTTCTTCTTGCTCCCTTTTCCTTCCCTCTTTTCTCCTTCACCTCTTCCTACTTCCATCCCACTCATAATCCTATTCTTTCCCTTCCTCTCTTTCCTCTCTGCTTTAAATTCATTTGTGTCCACCAGTTGTGTAACCTAAAATTAATTACCTAAACATCTGAGCCTCCTTTCTTTACTTTGAAGAATATGAATAGAGAGGAAATGATAATGCCTATTGTGTAGGGTGGTTGCACTGCGCACATGAGTTAGTATATAGATTATGTAACACATACACAGAGAGCCTCAAATCTTCTCAGTAATAGTAACATTTATGATGTGCATGAAGCACAAAGACAAAACACACACCTTAATGACATCTGAGGCTCTCACAGACTAATTGGGAAAGACCAGTGACATCAAAGCTGAAAGAAATGTAGTGTCACCTTGGCTCACAAACTTCATTCATTTAAGGATTCTGGGGAAGATGGCTGCACTTGTCTCTGTGTGGGGAAGATTGTCATGGTCATGTTTGTCACCGGATGTGGAGTGGGAGAACAGAAGCAAAATTTTCCCTGACACTTCTGTTTCCAAGTAGAATTGTTCAAGAACAGAAGCATTCATGAACTGAGGCATTGCCGTATATCTCCCCGGAAACCCGCAATCTGATGGCCTGAATATCCTTGTGTGTGTGTGAACATCTCCCGTTGGTGCCAGCCAGTGATGGGGGCTGGGGCAGGTCAGTGGCATGTAAGGGAAAACAGCCATGGCCAATGTGCTCTTGGGCTTCCTGACCTCTGATCATGATCCACCATCTCCAACTGCTTTAAATTTCCAGATATCTCTTGCACCACCAACAGTGACACGGTTGCCTGTGGTAGAGCATGTATTGTAGATAAAAGAGCACAGGAGCTTTTTCAAAGAGTGTGTCCAGATTAACTTCCCACTGCTCTCACTTACTATCTCTAAGTCCTTACCTGTGGGAAAAAGATAACAATATTTCTTCCTCCTGGTGCTATTTTTCATGGTGGGGAGAGATAAGAAAGAACAAAATAGATATAGTGTAGAACACAAATAAGAGCCTCAAGGCTGATTCCTGAGTCTACAATTCACTGGCCATTTGTCCCGAGGAAACTGTGGACTCCCTTTCCTTATCAGTGACTGAGTTTTGATAGTAATAACTCAATCACAGAGCTGAGAACATATCAAATGAAATAATGGAGCTGAAAGTGCTCCGTAAAACATGAAGTGCTTCAGAAATATTACCTGCTATTATCATCTTATAGTCGCATAAAACTATTATAAGCCGATGGCGGGAGACTTCCATCTGTCATGGTGACAGTTATTAGTCTCACTGTCCCCTGTCAATAAGCTGATTTAAGATAGTACATCGTCAAGCAGAAGAACAGGAAGTGAGGGAATTAAAATAATTATATTATCCCAGAATGAAATAATGGAATTTAAACTACATTAATTTAAAAAGAGACTCTACAAATTGCTTCACACTGCCTGAAATAGCCTGTAAGCATACTAGAAAGAATATCCATGTTTTGTGATGGCTGTATCTAATAGAGAGCAAAAAAAAAATTTCACATTCCATAGGAACACTGGACTTTATTGTATTTCTTTTCATGAAAACTCAAAATCTGCAGAAACTGGTGGAGTTATTCAAGTTTTAAAATCCAAATTGATTTAACTCCCTTTTATTTTAGAAGGTTTAGTTACTCATTTCTTTTGGAAATATGAATTTAATATAGACGTAATATTTGTTACATTGAAATGAATATTTCATAAACCAATATCTCAGTTGATAAAATTAAGTGAGAGATTTGGAGTCGTGTAGACTCTGTGCATGGAGATAAAGGCAAACATTCCACCCACAGAAGCTCAGGCATCGAATGGAGTTCGGCTTGATTTTTCTCTCTTAAAAACATTAAGGTAGGGGCTGGGGAGATGGCTCAGTGGAATAAGTGCTTCCCTGGCAAGCACAAGGGTCTGAGTTCAATCCCCGGTTCTGCCAAAAAAAAAAAAAAAAACAAAAAAAAAAACATTAAGGTAAAGAAGTATCCTTCGTTAATCAGAATGCATATCTCTGTAAAAAGTCTATTGTTCGATTCACACAATGAAGTGATGAGCCTAAATTCATGTAATTCCTTGAACCAGAGGATCAAGGTGAAAAATAGATCTCCAGCTCCTCAAATTTAGAGAGGTCACACGGAAGTATGGTTTAAACTGGTGTATGTTCTCCTAAAAAGCTAATGCTTCCGACAACATTAATTTAGGTTGCAGCGGCTCACACCTCCCCTCTCCTGTGCGGAATTTTGAGAGCCACACTCCTAAATTTGCTCGACCCACCGAAGACCAGTCAGCCTGGCCCAAGTCCTCCACCTCCCTGAGGAAGTGGCTGGCTCCAGGTTTCAGTGTGATCTCTCTGTCGTGTGGAGACTCTCCCCAGCGCTTCGCCCTGGCCTCTGTCCTTGCTTGCATGCATGTACCAACCATCTGCTTGCCTTTCCTGAGCACCTTCCTAAGCAAACTGCTGCCTGAGCCTGAACGAATGCCAGACGTTCGCAGCCGCTTTCATCCCCTCACTCACTGGCCTTACGGGGGGACACTGCATCTCCTTCTCAGCAATGGGTGCTGTATTTGTACTCCTGGAAACTGCTTTTATAAACAGAGAAGCTTTGATAGCCGCCACTCATCATCTGCCGAGTACTGAGTGGGAGGGCAGGGCTCATTTCTTGACTCTGGAACTATCTGTTAAAGCCCTATTATGCTCTCCTTGAATTTGAAAATAGAGCAAGTTAAAATCCCTGTTCTTGTGGTGTCCCTGTATGCGGGAGGTGACCACCACACTGTAAAGTCCAGTGTGTGCAGTCCAATAGGCAGCCCCAAGGAGGCGGTGGTCCAAGACCAGTTTTATAAGTTCAGATAAGGCAGCTAGGGAAGGGGCACAAATGAGCTAGTAGCTGAAGCAGGAGCTAAAGGAGACAACACTGAAAGCCGCAAGCTCGAGAGCCCTCCCCACCCGTCCACCTACAGAAAGCCTGCGTGAGCCTTCAGGGTGCCGTGAATCGGAATTTTTGAGGAACAGTTGGGACTGAAAGAGAGAAGCGGAGACTTTGAGAAGAGGAATCTGCAGTGACTCGGGTTACAGCACAGATGCCCTGGCTGCTAGGGCTGGAGTGGACACCACGGGTTGAAAGCAGCGCAGGGTTCAGATAAAGGTGACAGCAGAGGGAACGAGGATAGACTGTCAAATTCCAGATGCCAACTGCAGACAGCCCCTAGTTTTCCTGATAGAAAACTGCCACGAGGTAGAGGAAGAGAACCAGGGCACACAACTACCTCTCCAAGTATGCTTTGTGGGTCCCCTATGTGGGAACTG